GAGGGCGGCCGAAGCCGTGAGGCTCCCCCCAGCTCGGGCCTGGGCAGGCGGCTTCACCCGCTGCTGCCCCTGCGCTGCAGGCGTGGGGCTGTCACCTCTGCGGGGGAGAGGGCTAAAACTCAGCCTAAAACGTAAGCCGAGCTCTCCGCGTTATCTGTGGAAGTATGGGCAACATGAGAAGCTGGCGTTACGGAAAACTGAAATGAAATTTAAACTGGAAGTAGGGTACGAGGTACACGGCGTGGCTGTTTAATGGCACCGCTGTTGGGCGGTGAGCTGGGTGTATTTAGCTGTCGGATCGGAGGTCGGCCACACCGTTCTAAAGGCCTTTTTGGCTGTCAGACGGGATTGACTCGCCTGTGGGAAGGACTGAGAGCACTGCCCAGTGCTCCTGCCCCAGGGCAAGCGGAGGGAGCCTCGGCCATGGTGCCCGCCAGCTGCCCGCCCAAACGGCTGTGGGCCGCCTGAGGCGGGGAAGGTGGAGCGTGCTGCTTGAGGCGGGGATGTGGGCCTTTCCATATTTCTTGCTGGTAAAATTCTCTGTGTGCACACGGGTCCTGTATAGCCACTGTTGTCACCGACACTGTTTCCTCTGCCTGCCAAAAGTAGTGGGAAAATGTCTCTGGCGTGGTTTGTGTCGTGCTGGGTGCAGTTAAAATAAGAAAGCTGGAGAGGGATTTTTTCCAAGGGCATGTTGTGATAGGATGAGGGGTAGTGGCTTCAAACTAGAAAAGCGCAGATTTAGAATAGATAGGAAGAAAGTTTTCACTGTGGAGGTGGTGAGGCACTGGAACAGGTTGCCCAGAGAAGTTGTGGATGCCCCATCCCTGGAGGTGTTCAAGGCCAGGCTGGATGGGGCTTTGGGCAACCTGGTCTGGTGGGAGGTGTCCCTTTCCATGGCAGGGGCGGTGGAACTAGATGATCTCTAAGGTCCCTTCCAACCTAAACCATTCTAGAATTCTGTGATTCTAGTGTGAACAAATACTTTGCAAGATACTGGCATAGTAATTCTAACAGCATGTTTATATTGGTATAAGTATGTGGCTTCAGTTTTGCTGGTCATTTTCTTTGTGATGAGAAACTAGGGGCAGGATTCATTTAGCTTAGGCATCTGAAGTTAGCTGTTGAGGTCTAGTCTTGGAGCCCTTGGAGACAGTGAGACAGGCTCCTCAAACTATTGTTCAGCTCTTCCCAAAACATCCCTCTACGACAAGTTAACTGATAGAATCATAGAATCATAGAATTGTGCAGGTTGGAAGAGACCCTTGGGATCATCGAGTCCAACCATCTACCCTACTCTACAAAGTTCTCCCCCACACCATATCCCCCAACACCACATCTAAATGGCTCTTAAACACATCCAGGGATGGTGACTCAACCACCTTCCTGGGGAGACTATTCCAATGCCCAACCACTCTTTCTGTGAAAGATTATTCACTGGACGTGCCTGTTTTTCTCCATTGCCAAAGATGACAGCAAGGAAGATTCCTTAGCCAGATCCTTGATGTAGACATCAGTATTTAGGTGGAATGAATAGTGTATTTGAAGGGTAGGGAAAAAATGTGATAGCAATTGTGGAGGCAACTTTTATGATGATTACATAGAAATAGGCTATCGTAGGGAACACAGGAGAAAGAACTGGGAACTTAGAACTGGATTTCTCCTACCTAACCTTAAATGTATCTGAAGTGCCTTAATTATGCGTATAGCCTACAGAATTTCAGTTCTGTGGTTGTACCTACTTGCTGATGCAATGCATTAACCACCAAAAGAGCAAAACTTGGAGAAATGGACTGAGTCACTGCTGGCGGCCAAGTATTACAGAAAGTTATATTTAATGGTTCCCTATTCCAGTCAGCTGAAGATATTGTCTTCCAGCTAAAAGCCCAGTAAAGGCTCCTACAGTCATTACAACATTTAGAGCAGGAGACAAACATGACACTCAAGTACACAAACTTCTGTTATTATTTGTGTAGAAACACCTAGTTCTCCTTCAGAAATGTGTCAAAAGACTCCAGGCTCGTGTACTTCCATACTCTGGAGCACTGGCTCCTAAGGTTGAATAGGAGTGTCCTTTAATTTTTTGAGAGCTCACCTTTCAACTCTAGAAGCCTTGCTGGAAGAAGGGAAGAGCTCTGAAAAATCTGTGGTTTTCTATTTTCCATTGTGATCTCTGTGTATGCACGTACTTTGGTTGCGTATTTTATCGTACCTGTCTGTTGCTTTACAGCAATTATCCTGAGAAAGAGATTAATTAATAAAAAAAATCAAAAAATTGAAAGAAGGCATTGATACAATGCCTATTTGAGGTAATTAGTGATCCAGCAAAAATGCTCCTGGTGCATCCTCCTTTACAGGAGAGCAGACTCTTCAAACTTTGATTCTGTCTGAAATTGTTAGTATTTATTTAGGAAAGAAGAGAATGTAAAGGTGTAGTTAGGCCTCCCATATTAAACCTGTCATGAAAAAGTATTGTTATCAATGCCATTGAAATCTGAATAGCTAGGGAAAATATGTTAAATGACTTCTGTGTCACTCTATGTAGCTCCTATTCATCTCAAGATAGATTAGGAAATGAATCTATTGATAAAAGAAAATCCACAGGATGAGAGGACAATGCTACAATGTTAAATTACCATGCAAAGGATGTGATAAATATAATGTATAAATTGATAATGTAGTAGGTGCGTTTTTTTGACCACATAAAGTATTTTTATAAGTATATAGAAAATGCATAGGAAGAAAAAGTAATGCGAAATAGAGAAGAACAAAGTTCCTAAGAGATGTGGTTTATCAGAAAACTTTTTACTTGGCATAAAAAATGAATTAGAGGAATTGTGATATGCATAGTATATTTTCCTTTCACTCAGAAAGAGCAGTGCCATGCCTTGTTCATCTAGAAATGGAATCGATCTGACATTAACAGGGGGATAAAGCATAAAGGTGTGATTATTTGGCAGATTGGACTGTGTGCAGCCTGTATGTTTTTGATATGGAGCATTTTGTTAAGATACCTGCAAAGACGGGAAATAGCATTGTAACCACTGTAATGATGAAAAAGTAGAAATGACGCAAGTGGAAATGAGTAAATACTTGTCCAAGATGATGTCTAAAAATAGTGTGTAAACTGGGTGAAATGGAGTATAAATTTCATCATGATACGACATATATCATGATTCTATCTTCATCACTTGCTGGTCATCTTTTCCTACCAAACAGCCGAGCTAGTGAATTTAAAAGGTTTCGCTACCAGGTTTTGCTCATTCATGTGCTTACTTTGATTTTAGCAATTGAAAAGGTCACATCTCATTTGGTTTTCATTGTGCTGGTATACGAAATGTAAGTAACAATTTTGATACGGTGATTCAGAGGGATTACTCTGATGAAGGAACAGGTGCCTAACAAGCTGTTCCTGTATCAGAGTGAGCTGGCAAGATAAAGCATAAGCTTTTTTAAAATGCTGACTGGGTATTGGACATATATTAGAAGGACAGGGTTTTCACCCTGGCTGTGTGTGCCATGGGTAGCTTTGGCTTTTTTCATTTTCACAGCGCTTCTTTAATGCGCAGTTATAAATAACATCATGTTTTGCTTATTACCGTACTCTTTTCTATTTTCCTGTCCTGCTGCACAGTGACTGTGGTGTGTGCTAATGGGAGGGTGCTTAGTTCAACCTTAGGCAGCCTTTTCTACATAATTGGTTTAGTTATGAAACACCATACTTTCAATTAATTAGTGTGATTACCTACCTAGCTGTAGATAGGAGAAATGTGGTATTCACTTGGTTCTTCCTTTGCAGTGAATGTTCATATCAATAATAAAGCTGTCCCTGAGTAAAATATTTATAGATGTACAGGGCATGAAACAGCACATGCATGTGGAAAATCTCACAAGTGAAACTGAATATTGAGTGCATCAGCAGCTGCCTTGTTCATACACTTTATGCATGTGGTTCAGAAAGGTATTCAGAAAATTATATTCACATAGATACCATTTGGGTTTTTTTACGGTTTTAAGTAGCTGTTTTCTTTTTGTTAGTGTATGTATAGATCCAGTGAAATTTTCTCAGCTTCAAAATATTAAGTCCAGTTTATATCCTTGTTTGGCAAGATTGGTTGTTTTCTCTATTTGTATTAGAAGACCAAATGTACTGAAGTGTTTAGATGAGCAAATTCCCACATTGTGTTTGACAAAACCCACTTTGATCTTTTCTGAGAAACAGTTAAATACACAGAATTTAGACTAACCATTTGTTTCACCTGATCTTCAAACATAATACAGAATATTTAGGGGAGGAGACATATTTCTGCAGGTTTTCAGCCATATGCCCAGTTAAAAATCAAACGTACCGCTGTATTTGTAGAACAAATTGAAAAGAACAAAAGCCATTGTAAATACCCATATTTTACCATTCTGCTGAATATTTTGATTAATGCTAAATAGAAGACCAATTTGTCAGTAATAGCATAGCATGTCATAGTGAGATACTGCAAACATCAAGTATATCTTACTCTGATATACTGAGCTGTCATGGAACAGAGCACTGAAGTAGCATATAAAATTTTTTATTCATAGTAAACCAGAAACACTTATGAAATATTGCAAACAATATAAAATATATGCTGTTGCATAAATAAACAAGCATTTATACCATCAAGGGCAACAGAGAAACTTTTAAGGGGTCTGTCAATGAAAATTCTCAAAATCCAATGCCAAGAAAGACCTGAGTAGCAATTAAGACCAGAGAAATAAAATAAAAGCACTTAAAGATAGAAGGGAAATACAGATTTATTTTTAATATAATTTCAAAATGCAATATTAACAAACATGCAAATAAAAAGAAACCCAGAAATTTTTATCCCCAGAATACTTTTTTTCACAATGATATATTTTCAAATAACATTTCGTGATACTTCCCCTGTATTAAGCTTATGTTGCAGTTGAGGTGCCATCGATCCCATCCTAAAGCAGCAGCAAACTGAGGTTTTGCATATTTTTGACAGTCACTGAAGCATCGGCAGAGGTGCCAGCTCAGGGCGCAGTGTGGGTTCAAGAATTAAGGGTGCTGGAAGTCGATTGTCGTAAAATGGACTTCATACAGGTATAGCATTCTGTGTTTCACATGGTGGGGCAGAATTTTAATGGGAAGGAAAGCACCAGGTTTCAAGCCTGCCTGTCTCTGTCACCTCCTGACCTCTGAAATTGCCCCTTTGAACCATGTGGTTTTCATCACTTTACAAGGGTGCAGGCTTTTGACTGCAGTTCCTCTTTCCCATCCTCCTTGGGCTGCTTTCAGCCCTGAATGAGAATAGAGACTTTGGATCATCCATTTGTATTCTCTCGTATCACTTCACAGGTTACCACAATATATTTCTCATTGCAAAGTATGAATAGTAATTGGGTTGTTCTCTCACGCTCTCTTCCCTCTGGAAAGCTGTTTTGGAGTTAGTCTATCTAGATGATTAGAAATCATCTAATTTCCAGACTGAATTAATTAATGAGCATTAGCGGTTGTGTCACCATAGCGCTTGTGTTGAAATTAGTCAATCACAGAATCAGTGTGACCTAAAAATGTGTAACATTTGTGAAAAGGATC